ACTGCATATTTTTGAGATTCTTTGTGAAACAGTGTTATGACACAAAGACAGATAGCCAAATTAAAAATCAGCCTACCTGTCCCAGTATTTGCAACAATAAAATTAAAAACAGTGACCTTCAAAATTGACCCTAATATTTCCTAACCATACTTTTTGAATAACAAATACCAGACACCAAGTTTATAGCTTAAAACAAAAGAATTAACAATTTACTAATAATGCAGTAGTTTTAACAGAACAAAGTTAAATCACAAGATAATCCAATAAATGTCAAGGATTTCAAACCCTAACCTCCTTCAATTCTCTCCCACCAACTCATACAAAGACAGACAGACAGACATAATGAAGGGATAAATCAAAGAGGAAAAACAAGATGCGCCTGGCCAGTTCACTTAAGTCATCTGCATGATCCGTCATCTCACAGACCCATGAGGTTGGATCTTGCTTGGTTTCTCAAGACACAGCATATGCCAATAGTTTCCATAGGAATACTCCATTTAACACTTGAAAGTTCAGAGAATAGAATCTGTTTTAAGTTGATAATGGGAGGATAACCAAGGATTGGTCATATCTCAGTCCTTTTGCAAAACACAATTCAAAACTATTTCAAACTTTGATTTATCTTTGGTGGACTGATCAGACTCGGCTACATCATGACAACTTTCCAATGATCATTTTGTATTACACCAGAGACCACTTGGATTTCAACAGCTCATTTCCAAAAAAAGCACAAAACTGATTTTTAGACTAATTGTTTTTTCCTTCCTTAAGCTCAAACTTGAACAACAGTTTACACATGATGAATGTGAGAGTCCCTTCTGCGTCCGCCAATGTTGAAGGAATTATTTCACAATTGTGCAGCTGCCAGCATTGTTAAAGTAGGTCCACTTAGTGATCCAACAATTGCTGGTCATGAACTTCTCTTAGTTAGCTGACTATTCTCAAACACTGGGTAGATAAACTGCAGACTGAATTGCTTGCCAACTGTTAGCCTGTTTGCTTGATATATCTGACAGCAAATGAAATCATATCTCCAGGAGTTACATTTCAAAAGGACTAATAATTGGATTAGATGGGGATCAGGACTTTGAGCTTTGCCATCATCCATAACAAAAAAAATGCTGGAAATAGTCAGTAGGTAAGGCCTGCACAGAGAGAAACAAAGTTGGCATTTCAAAGCAATAAACTCTTTATCGAACTGGGAAAGTTGTTCAAATCTTTCCTCATAACTGATGTATGTCATCCTGAGCAGCATTCTTGACAACCTCTTCTGCACTCTCCAATGCATTCAAATTTTTCTTCAAGTGTGCTGCTCCAGAGCTGTTAAAAAAAAATTCAACTGAGGTATAACCAATGTCCTATACAAATTCAGTGTAACCTCCTTGTTCATGTACATGCCACACCACTGAAGAAACCTAGAAACTATCCTTTTATAAATAGATCTCTTTACATGCCTATCAGTTTTAATGACTTACACATATTCATGGAGGTCTCATTGCTCCTGACACTTTTCAAAACAGTATGGATTATTTTTATTGTCTCTCCAAGTTCCAAGTGGACCTACTTTAACAATGCTGGCAGCTGCACAATTGCTAAAACTGATCACCTCAAACTGCTCCACTTAGAATTTGATCTGCCACCAAACCACCCGCTCCAATTTGTCAATGAAGTTCTACACTACATTTTGAAGTTCTACACCTCAGTTTACAAAACTTGCATGTTTTGTGATGTCCAGAAACTTGAGCACCAGCCAGTTTACCTGGTTTTGATAACAATACTCTTTCAGTTCTGGTATCAGCAGAATCTCCTGGTATCTCATATTCTCCATCTTGCAAAAGTCAAAGTGGAAGCAATGTGCATATATATTAAGTGTGCTTTAAACACATTTCTATACTGATTTTAAATGAAAAAGCTTTCGTGGGGTTTGAATGTCACTGACTGGGCCAGCATTTGTTGTCCCATGCTAATTGCCCTCAAGAGCATGGTTGTCCACTGCTTTCTTGAACTGTTGCAGTCCTTGGAGTATAGACATCCACAATGCTGTTTGGAAGTGAATGTCAGGATTTTGGCTGAGCAGCAGTGAAGGAAAGATGATATAGTCCCAAGCCAATGTTGTTGCTCTAGAGGAATTATGGTCCCCACGCATCTGTTGTCTTTGTCCTTCCAGTTGAACCGGTATATTCTCCAATGCAATACCTATACCAATCAGCACTGTCCCTGCATACAATATAAATGCTGGTTTTCCCCTTTATGCTAGTATTCTTACAAATTGTACTGATGAGCGAGCAATAAAAAGCTCTAACAAAATGTGGCTTTTTTCACAAATACTCTGAATGAAATTTCTCTTATCAAATTATATTTCTTCCAGAATACTTGGTTTGCACATTTTATGGTTTATTGAATTGCACTTCTAATTTTCATGAAGTATTTTTCTATACCCAGAGATTTCTTTGCTCCGCCACCTAGAGTCACAGGTGTACAGCATGGAAACAGACCCTTCAATCCAACTCATCCAAATATCCTAAGTCAATCTAGTCCTATTTGCCAGCATTTGGCCCATATCCCTCTAAACCTTTCCTATTCACGCACCCATCTAGATGCCTTTTCAATCTTGTCATTGTACCAGGCTCCATCACTTCCCTCTGGCAGCTCATTCCATGCATGAACGACCCTCTGCGTGAAAAAGCTGCCCCAGAGGTCCCTTTTAATTCTTTCCCCTCTCCCCTTAAACCTAGGGATAAGACCTTGGCTATTCGCTCTATCTATGCACTTCATGATTTTATAAACCTCAAAAAGGTCACCACTCAGCCTCCAACACTCCAGGGCAGGGCAGCATGGTGGCTCAGTGGTTAGCACTGCTGCCTCACAGCACCAGGGGCCTGGGTTCAATTCCCCCTCGGGTGACTGTGGAGTTTGCACTCTCCCATGTTTGCGAGGATTTCCTCCAGGTGCTCTGGTTTCCTCTTACAGTCCAAAGATGTGCAGGCTAAGTGGACTGGCCATAGTGTTCAGGGATGTGTACATCAGGTGGGTTTGGGGAATGGGTCTGGGTAGGATGCTCTGATGGTCGGTGTGGACTTGTTGGGCTGAAGGGCCTGTTTCCACACGGTAGGGATTCTGTGGAAAATAGCCCCAGCTTATTCAGCCTGTCCCTACTGCTCAAACACTCCAACCCTGGCAACATCCTTGTAAATCTTTGCTGAACCGTTTCAAGTTTCATAACATTTGTCATGGAGCAGGGAGACCAGAATTGAACACATTATTCCAAAAATATCAAAACCAAAGTCCTGTACAGCCACATTATGAACCCCCCCCACCAACTCCTATACTCAAAATGTACTGACCTTAGTTTGAAAATTAAATGCCTAACACTGGATGATCCATTGACTCGACCTGCTGCACCTATCTATATTGAAATGCATTCAGCACAGACATGGTCAGTTCTGCGAGTTCAAGATCATATCTGTTTAATCACAGTCCTCATTCACATTTTTAAAAATGCCGATCCTTACTTTCCATGCCAAAAGAAATATCAGCTTGCTTAGATGGAAAGTTTAAGGCTAGTATCAAAATTGAAGAGCCACTATTTTTACACTACAGTTAAAATACAGAAAGAATTAGCTTAACTAACTCTTGAAACACTTAACAAAACAATATATTTTTTATTAACTATTACTAAGTAACTGTTCCAAAATAGGAACATCCCATATACACACCCATGCCAAAAGCAAAGTCAGTAAAATTGATTGTCTCATATGCAATTCTATCAGCAGGAAGAGAACCCCAGCTTTTAGCCGTAACAGAGTGAGGAATAAGAGCTTCCACATCCAGCTTCAAGACCCAAACACCTGCAGAAGGCTAAAACTAAAAATCCTGGTTCTATGGGAGCTTGACCCCACCCATTCAGGCTGCTTCTATTATTCCAACATAAAAAATTCTAAAGTCTCAAGCTGTTTACTTTACTAGCTTTGAGCAGACTGCTCGGTAGTTTCAGGTCTGCTGACCCTTCCTCAGGGCTGAGTTCTGGGGAAGGGTCACCGGACCCAAGTGTTAACTCTGATTTTTTTCTTCACAAATGCAGCCAGACAAGAACGGAAAAAAAAATACACCTCTGAAAGCCATAGTATCATTCCAACAGGGATTAATTTTATATACCATCGCAAAGATTGTATCCAACATCCGAGGTGATTACCGAGAAAACCAAATGGCTGCCAGCAAATACACAGACAGTGGCATCAGCTGGCTCCAACCATAAAAGTGCCACTGGTGTCATCACACTAATATGTGAGCATATACAGCAAGACGAGCACATCATCAATATAGTTCCAGGGAAGCAGTCAGTCACTTCCTCAGTCCTGGAGAGATGGCTGACTGTAGGAAGGTAATAGAGGTGGCCTCAAGCCCTACTTGTGACCCCACAGAAAACCCAAAATGGGATAGGTGCATTCAATCACTTATGAAATGTGTCAGCTCTATGTTTGTGTGCACACACCCCTTGCACCACCTAGAGGTGGCATTGATACAATTCAGCTCTCTCGACATCAATCTTTGCAGTTAAAAATAAAGGACCTGTATAAAGAAAGAATGAATTTGTACTAAGGTATGGATAAAAACCTGGCCAATTTTCTCCAGGTGGCAATGCAATCAGGTACAATTCTGCAAAACTCTCTACAAAGTTCAGAACTAAAAGCAACCTTGCTTACATCCGATATTTTCCAGTCTACCTGAATCCATCAGTAGGAACATGACATGCATTTATAACCAAACATCACTTGTTTAAAAAAAATTGAGATTTTTGAAACCTTTGTCAGTAATTGTTTCCATTCAAATAACAGAGCAAGTTCAAGAATCCTGAGGTCTACTCCTGCTCACAATACACTTCGATAACAGTTAGCAATTCATCAGAATCCTTGGCTATCAAGTGTTCCATATGCACAGATTACCAAGCAACTCAAACAAACTTCCATTCACATTTTAGGCAAGTGGCCCAGGGTACCTACCAGCATGTCTGTGGCATGAAGATAATGTTTGCTTGCCATGCATCGCTCCAGCTTTTGTGGCACCTGTTTGATGTCCTCGATTTCATCAAGCAGATTTAGGACATGCTTGTGTTCAATACCTTCAATCCAAAGCTTGCGTAGCTCATCCCTTTTGCAGTGGAGCAGCATTTTGCATGAAAGCAGATTCTCCTTCACCTGCTTGATTTTGTTACGTGAGCTGGTGATACGTTCCGTGATACTTTGGTACGTCCTGATGGCTGTGGTAAGTTCTGTATAGTGCTGTACAATCAATTCATCTAAATCACGGTCGCATTTCTCATAAGCTTCCTCAAGACGGCCCTTCTCAGCTTCTCGATCATGAATATCATCACTTGTTGACAGAGTTCTATAAAAACATGTAGAAAAAGTAGAATTAAGAGCATTTTCACTTGTGTATCACAGTGAATGACAAAGAACATTTGCCAGTGATACCTGAATCTGACCAGAATAGTAAGTGGGCTTTTTCATTTTAGATGTTGCAAAAAGCTAAATTTTGCTGTTGACCATGTTCAGTAATTATTCTTGATAAGCAGTGTCAGTAAGATATAAAAAAAATTTAGAATGTTTCATTTTTCTGTATACCCACAAGACAAACATACTGCACCGTATATGAAATATTTCTAAAAGTCATGGAGCATTTGCATAAAGAACTGAACATTCCTACAAACCCATAGTCACCAACCTACAATCACAAGTTGCTGTACAGGATAATATGTTAGATATTTGCATGGTCTTCCCCAGGAACTTTCATTTTAATGGCACAAACTGGATTTTTGCAAAAAAAAATAAAATAAAAAAAAACTTAATTGCCATTGTGCGCTCATTAACTGCTTGTACCCCAACCATACTGCTATTACACTTTTCAATTTTAACATATTAACAGAGTTGAACACAAAATCAAACAAACCTTCAAGTTGATTTTCTAAATCATGCTTAGATACAAACTATACATTTTTGGCACCTGAAAATTTATGTTGCATGCGAAAGAAAAAACAAAACAAAAAAAAAAAAATCACACTGACCTTTCTCAAAAGTGGACTACAATACTGTAGTTTTTTTATTCACAGGATGTATGGGATGAGGAATGAGTGGCACTCGCCAAGCAATCAACTTCCAAATCCAATAAACAAATATTGTTAGAAATTTAACTCAATTGTCACAGACTGCAAGTGACATTCACGCCACACAAATGCCAGAGACAAATTAACGAATGACCCTTGACATTTAATGGTGTTACCATCACCGAATCCCCCAATATCAACATAATGGGGATTACCATTGAACAAAAACAATTGGATTTACGATAATCAAGAGTGGGTCGGTTGCTAGGAACATTGCAGCACGTAACTCACCTCCTTACTCCCCAAAGCCCATATACAAGGCACATGTCAGGAATATGATGAAATATTCTCCATTTGCCTGAATGAGCACAGCTCCAACACATGCATCCTGACACTATTCACAACAAAACAGTCCACTCGATCTGCACCTGGGGCAGCATGGTGGTTCAGTGGTTAGCACTGCTGCCTCACAGCACCAGGGACCCGGGTTTGATTCCATCCTCGGGCGACTGTGTGTGGAGTCTGCACATTCTCCCAGTGTCTGTGTGGATTTCCTCTGGGTGCTCCAGTTTCCTCCCACAGTCCAAAGATGTGTAGGCTGGGTGGATTGGTCATGCTAAATTGCCCGTAGTGTTCAGGGATGTGTAGATTAGGTGGGTTATAGGGATAGGTCTGGGTGTGGGGCTTGTTGGGCTAAAGGGCCCACTTCCACACTGTAGGTATTCTATAAATAATTTCTCCAAATCCACAAATATCCACTCTGTCCACCATTAACAAACACTCAGTAGCAGCAGCATACACAGTGCCAAAGATCCTCATATAGTCCCTATAAATGACCACTACCATCTCGAAGGACAGCAGGTACATAAGAACAGCAAATTCCTCTAAGACATTCACCATCTCAACTTGGAAATATAATCGCTGGTCCTAAAATCCTGGAATGTTAAAATCCTGGAATTCCCACCCTCATGGCATTGTTGGTGTACCACAGCACATCAGTTGCAGTGGTTCAAGAAGGCAGTCCATCATCACTTTCAATGGCAATTAAGGACAAGCAAATTAATGCCATCCAGCCAACAACACCAACATCCCACAAGTGATTTTAGAAAAACAAAAGAAGATTGACACCTTACTACTTCTCAGATCTGCAGCATTTCCAATATTTTTGAGGAAACACAGATCAAAGAAGCTTTCAAACTCAGCTAACTACTTTTTAAGTCTGTTAGGTGGAAAACATACAGGGAAGTGTTTTTCATAATAAGAAGTTTGACTGTTTTTCATTGCTATGTTCAGTTTCAAAAATCCCCCAAATATGTCCGCAATGAATTTGCAGAATTTCATCCTAAAATTAGCCCAATTACAAATCACCAAAAGGAAATAAAATTAACTGCCGTAATTTGATAATTTTGGAATTTGTGTACTTGTCCTAGCTTTATCAAATTTGCAAGACAGCACCTTTACAGTGTGAACTGGCCAGCCGCATTCCAGAAAAATCATACTATCAAGTTAAATTGATGAAAATGTATGCGGAAAGGATGTTTGGTTATCAAATAACCAAAACATCTATTGCATGTTGCCAATGATTATCATAAATAGGTTATTTATAGGTACCAAATTGTTGCAACTCGATTTGAGTTTAACTCTGTTGGTATTTGCTGTGCACAGGGCCAAATCCAATAATCATTCAAAAGAAATACAAGTGCTGCTCAAACTATACCCGAGAAGCAGAAAACATTGAGGTTTTAGGAAAGGGAAAAAGAAGCACAGCAGCCCAAACGAATCTGGTCAACAAACACACAAGTATTGATCTACACACATTTCATAATGAAGAAATGATTAGAAATTTACTCTTCAAAAATACAAGTACCCTGTCTAAAAAGAAGAATTTGACTTGAGGTTCAATGAAAATGTAGTGAGTAGTCAGCTTTTATCCTCATCTCTTCTGGAGGTGTTAATAGAGTCATAGAGCTGCATAACATGGAAACAGACCCTTCAGTCCAACTCATCCGTGCTGACCACATATCCTAAATTAATCTATGCCCATTTGCCAGCATTTGGTTCATATTCCCTTTTACCCCTTCCTATTCGTGTACCCATACAGATGCTTTTTAAATGTTGTAATTGTCTCAGCCTTCACCACTTCCTCTGGCAGCTCATTCCATACATGCACCACCCTCTGAAAAAGTTGTCCGAGGTCCCTTTTAATTCTTTTCCGTCTCATCTTAAAAACTTACGCCCTCTAATTTTGGACTCCCCCACTCCAGGGAAGAGATCTTGGCTATTCACCCTATCCATGCCCCTCATTATTTTATAAACTTCTATAAAAGGTCACCCCTTATCCTCTGAAGCTCAAGGGAAGACCGCCTAGCCTATTCAGCCTCTCCTTATGGCTCAAACCCTCCAACCCTGGCCACATCCTCGTAAATCTTTTCTGAACCCTTTCAAGTTTCACAACACCTTTCCTATGGCAGGGAGGCCAAAACTGAACACAGTGTTCCAATAATGGCCTAACCAGCGTCGTGTACACCTGCAACATGACCTCCCAACGCCAATACTCAATGCACTGACCAATAAACGCAAGCCTTCTTCACTATACTGTCAACCTACGACTCCACTCAAGGAACTAGAAGCCTGCGCTCTTTGTTCAGCAACACTCCACAGGACCTTACCATTAAGTGTATAAGTCCTGCCCTGATTTGCCTTCCCAACAATGCAGCACCTCACATTTATCTAAATTAAGCTCCAACTGCCACTCTTCGGTTCACTGGCCCGTCTGATCAATGTCCCATTGTACTCTGAGGTAACTTCCCTCACTGTCCACGATAGCTCCAATTTTGGCGTCATCTGCAAACATACTAACAATACCTCCTATGCTCACATCCACATCATTTACATAAAAATGGCAAAAAGCTGTGGTTCCAGCACCGATCTTTGCGGCAAACCACTGGTCACTGGCCTCCAGTCTGAAAATCAACCCTGCACCACCACCCTCTGTCTTTGAGTCAGTTCTGTATCCAACTGGCTAGTTCTTCCTGTATTCCACATGAGCTAACCTTCCAACCAGTTTATCATGTGGAACCTTGTCAAATATCTTATTGAAGTCCACATAGATCACGTCCACCACTCTGCCCTCATCAATCCACTTCACCACTACTTAAAAAAAACTCAAGTTAGTGAGACACTATTTCCCACACATAAAGCCATGTTGACTATCCCGAATCAGTCCTAGCCTTTCCAAATACACGACGTTACAGTGGAACATGGATGAATTACATGGTACAATTACAGCTGCAGAATGATATCTACCATTCCAAAATAAAACAGCAGAAGTGGGCATGTTTTAGCTGCATGTTTAAAAAAAACATGAAGGATTGTGTACAAACATCATGCTCCAAAGTGCTTTACAGACAACTGTGAAGATCATTATCATTGCAGGAGCCAATTTATGTATAGTATGCACCTACAAAACATGATAACAATAGCCTTGATTTATTAAAAAAAGCTGATAGTAGGATAAAAACACTTGCAGACAAGGGGAGAACACAACTGCCTTTTTTCACAATTGAGATCTTAGGTCTCCCTTTGAAACAGACATCTCCCTCATGAATGAATTGTGGTGACAGACTATGTTTTGGGCTGAGATGGAAACGCAGAATCTTAGAAACTGGGAGGAGTACACTGCTTGCCCTTTTAAGCCTGCTCCACCATCCAAATGATCATGTCTAATGCACTCAAAGCCGTACTTCCACTTCCTCCCATGCTCAATGATGCCTTTAATATCAATTAATTTATTCATGTCTTCCTTGAATATATTCAGTAAATGGCAGAGAGCCTGCTGTGGTAGTAAATTGCACAGGTTCACCACCCTTCAATGAAGAAATGTTTCCTCATCTGAGACCAAAAAAGCCCACCCTATATCATGAGGCTAATGACCCCGAGGTTGCAGACTCCCCAACCAGGGAAAAAACATCCTCCCTAATCGAGTTTGTCCAGCCCTGAATATTTTATGTTTTAATTTCTCCTCTCATCCTTATAAACTCTAGTGAGTACATGATGTGAAGGTGCCAGTGTTGGACTGGAGTGGACAAGGGATGCTCCTTCACTTGATGGAAGCTTGTGATTTCAAGTAAACCTGTTGGACTATAACCTGGTGTTGTGTAATTTCTGACATACTGAATACAAGCCTATGACAGACCTACTATCCCCAGCATCAGCTTAGTGAACCTCCATTGCACTCCCTTATAGCAAGTATATATATCTTCACACAAAAAAAAAATCACAGAATTATTACAGCTCAGAACGAGACTATTTGGTTCATCATACCACCACTAAGTCTATTAATTAGTGCCAATCTCCTGCTATTCCACAGTCCCCCGCCGCCCTGGCCTTTGGTAGGGAGACCAAAACTACAGGCAATACCTCAGTTGGTGTCTAATCATGGCCTTACCCAACACAGACATCAACTTTCTTACTCCCAGCTGACAACGTTATCAATTGAGCTGAAACTGATACTATCTTACTTCGCTATAGTACCGACTTGAATGTAAAGAAAAGGTGAAATGGCGATGTTTGTAATATTTAACAAATCAGTGGAATTTGTAGAACATATACGGCTATTAGCAAAGTTCACGATAAAGCAAAAATAATAACCGATTCCTCACCTTTTCTAACCTGTTTCTTTGGAACTGAGCTTATGATGCCGAGTGACGCTATAATATTCAGGGGTTTGCATTAAAACCAACGATCATGTACAAAACAATTTCTTGTTTTTTTAATGACACAGATATGGAACATGCATTTTCGCACAGCGCTTACCTTATAACAGAAATAAGTAAGCCTGAGGGATCTTTACTTTTGCTGATGACACTCCTATACTTTCCTGCCTCACTCGCCATTTTTTTGTTGTCACTGAACCACAGCAGTGCGCGTGCACTGACTGACGGTTTGATCACAGCCTTTCAAACCACACAGCGTTAAGAAAGGGCGGGGCTTCGATTAAATTTGGGGAAATACACCGATATAACTTGAAGGTAGAAGATAATATTTCCAAAGAGTAACGATTTCTGCTGTTTGAAATGTGAGGACAGCCGTTGCTTTTGTCTTATATTTCGAAAAGATCACGATAAAGAACTACAATTCCCATTTTCCCTTGGGAGTTGACAACAACCATAACTTTATTTGAAGTTTATCAGTGACTGTAATGCGTCTCGGCATTTACCTTCGTCACGGTCGGCCCGCCCCGTCCAATCTATTGCTGTAATGACAGCAAGCCAATCAGCGCTCGTATTCAATCACGTGCCATCTTGGTGTGGCAGCGCTAATGTGGCGATTGACCAATCGCACTGGCTGTTACTTTGAGGTAGAATGTTGAGAGGCGTAATGGATTGGGACGTAGTTGGCGTGTGACCGGTTTGCTTGCTACCAGTTATAACTTCAACGTTTCTGAAAGTTTTTTTCAGCCGCGATTTTGCTCCCTGTTTCCTTTTTTTTTCTTTTTAATTAATGCTGACAGCATGGGAGGTAGTGGGAGTACAAAACGCGTCTCCTTCGAAGCAGATGAAAATGATCAGATCACTGTGGTGAAGGGCATTAGGGTGAGTGTGTCACTGTCGGCAAACTGGATTAATATAACCTTTGTAACTTTTCTGTTAACAAATGGCTTCAGTTATATTTTGCAGTACCCGGTCTCTTCTCAATAAACTATCTAATAGTTATAACTTATAAAGTATTCGAAAACTTAATTTAGATTTTTAGTGTTTAGGTTGAGGCCTTTCCTTGAACTTAAAACTTTTCACACACACTGAACTTAAGAAGGGTCTCGACCCGAAACGTCAGCTTTCCTGCATATCTGAAGCTGCTTGGCCTGCTGTGTTCATCCAGCTCTACACCTTGTTGTCTCCTTTTGTAACTTGTTGCTTTTGGGCGCAAAATAGACTTTGGTATTATTAGGGTTTCTTTCTGGAGAACAAACTTGTATTATTTTCAATAAATCGATTTTTTTTTTTTTCTTTTACTCCGAATAAGTTCAACTCTTTCATGATGGACCTCATTACTGTTAAACCATACGACGTAGGCGGCACAGGGGTTAGCACTGTTGCCTGTTAGCGCCGGGGACCGTGTTTGATTTCACCCTCGGGCGATTGACTGTGTGGAGTTTCTCGTCATTGTCAGGTTAGATGAATTAGCCATGCTAAGTCGCCCATCCAGAGGCGTGCAGACATCTCGTCATGGATTAGCTATGGGAAATGCAGAGATAGCATAGGGGGTGGGATGGAATGCTTTGGGCGGAATGCCCTGCTTCCACATTTCAGGGGTTCTATAATTCTGTGTTAGGAGCAGAATTAGGCTATTCAGTAATGGCTAATACGTTTCTCAGCCCATACTCCTGCCTTCTCCCTGTAACCCTTGATCCCCTCACCAATCAAGAACCTATTTCTCTCTGCCTTGAATACACTCCATGACTTAGCTTCCAAAATCTTCTGTGGCAATAAATTCCACAGACTAACCCATATGGCTGAACTGTTTATAAAGTATTTGGGAAACCTTAGAAGAAATGCCTGTATTTTCATTGTGCCTGTTCATGACCTTGAATATCTTGAAGTGCTTTACAGCACTTCATGTACTTTGTTGTCACAGGAACTACAGTTCAACGTAGGAGCTGAGGCAATTTGTGTAAAACAGAATCCCTCAACAAGTGATAGAAATAACTTTCTAATCTGATCAAGTGCTGACAGTTGATGGATCAGTTTTAGAACAATGTCATTTCTCTTTTAAACAGCACTGTGGAACTGCATTAATTTGAGAGCACAAATGGTTTGATCTCTGTTCTGATAGTGTAACATTCCTTTAATAATGGACAAAATTCAAAAATGAGACCCAAAATAATGCAAGGCAGTTGATGCTTACCTTCAACGTATTGTGCTAGTGTTGGTTATTGGAAAGGGCTACGCAATCATCTTGATTTCTCCAGAGCTCCACAAATGTGATTGAACCTTCTTATGCCACCCTTCCAGGTAATGTATTTCAGATCGTGTACTTGTCTTTTTTTTTTAGATGATCTTATCTTTGGTTCTTTTGACATTTACCTTAAAATTGCATCGTCTGGAGCAAAACAAATTTCAAGATTGTTGTAACAATGAAGTTGCAACTTCATTTGCTTTGTATTGGGCAAGTATTAAAACTTGAGAGGAACATTGATAACCTTGTGTTCGTTTTGTCACATGGAAGATTTGGAGATGTGTGCCTGAAGTTGAACTTGGGGTGACAGGTAGATGATAGATATGGGGGGAACCGGATGACAGACATAAAGGCTATGAATGAGCCTTGGTTCCTTGGTAACCCTGACCCAAAATTCATTTTAAAACCTCAAGAGTCCCTGGAATCAGACTTTACTCACAGTAAGGTACTTCAGTTTTTCTCTTAGACCCTTCTGTTCACCTGCCCTCCCTTGATGAATTTTCATGTCGGCTCTGCTTATTGTTCATGTGACCTCTCATCCTGTTAATTTTCCCCATTTAGTGAGGCTGCAGACCAGTAACAATACCTGCTGGCTTAGCAGCACTACCAGCTGAGTTCTTTAAAGGCCAATAAGTCATGGAGTTTGTCTTGAGCCCAGGGCCTTCTAACTTGGATGCAGGACTGTAAACATTGATACGCGTCTGCTCTGAAGAAGAAATGTCTCCTTCATTCAGTCCTGTATGAATGACCTGTTAGCCTGAGATTATTCCCTGTTTTAGATTCCACAGCCAGAGCAAGCAAGCAACCTCTCTGTCTACCCTACCATAAATATGGAGACCAAAACTACATACACTGTTTTTCAGATGTGATCTCAATAACGCTCTGTACAATTGTGCAAGACTACTTTATTGGAGTAACAGAATAGAGGCCATCATGCCATTTGTTTTCCTATTTGCTTGCAGTACCTGCTTGCAAATTTTGTGTTCGTTTGAGTTCAAGTCCACCCACATGTATCTAAAAGTTTCACACCATTGAAAGATATTCTGCAATTCTCCTCGTAGTATCTAAGTGCCTCAGTACAAACTTCACAAAAATAGGCATTGTACTCTATCTGCCACATTGTTTCCATTCACTTAATCTGCAACATGCACAAAATTCACTTACCTGCAATACCTGTTCTAATTTTAGGAGACACGGTCAGTAAGTTTGCAGATGACACCAAAGTTATTGGTATAATGGACAGTGAAGAAAGTTTCTAAGATTACAATGAGATCTTGATAAATTGGGTCAGTGGACTGAGGAGTGGCAGATGGAGTTTAATTTGGTTAAAACCAACTAAGGCAGGACTTGTACACTTAATAGTAAGGCCCTGGGTTGCGTTGTCAAAGAGAGAGACCTAGGGGTTCAGATACATAACTCTGTGAAATTTGCATCGAGTCGACAGGATGGTAAAGAAGGTGATATGCATGCTTGCCTTCATTGCTCAGACCTTGGAGTAAAGGATTTGGGTTGTCATGTTGAGGTTGTAAAGTACATTGGTGACGTCTCTTCTGGAATACTGTGTACAGTTCTGGTCACGCTGTTATAGGTGGGATATTTTTAAATTGGAGAGGTTCAGAAAAGATTTACCAGGATGTTGCAGGGAATGGAACGTTTGTATTAGGCTGGATTTTTCTCATTGGAACGTAGCAGGTTGAGGGGTGACGTCAAAGTGGTTTATAAAATCATGAGGGGCATAGATAATGTGATCAGTGAAGGTCTTTTCCCTAGGATGGGGGAATTCAAAACTAGAGGATATATTTTTAAGGTGACAGGAGAAAGATTTAACAAGGACATGAGGGGCAACTTTTTTTTTAAACCCAGTGGTTGATATCTGGAATGAATTGCCAGAGAAAGTGGTGGATGCAAGTACAGTTACAACATTTAAAAGACATTTGGATAAGCACGTGAATAGGAAAGGTTTGGAGGGGTATGGGTCAAACACAGGTAAGTGGGACTAGTTTGGTTTGGCAACATAATCAGCATGGGCTAGTTGGACTAAAGAGTCTGTTGCCATCACTGTATCTTGGTATGACTCGGAAGTTTCCAGGCACAGATCAACCTGTGGAGTCACCTACATTCCAATAATAACCATACCCAGGATCACATAATAAAAATAGTTGTTTTCATTTCCAGGACTGATAAAGACTTTGTCCACACCTCTTTGCAGGGCCTTTAATGTGTTCTCCCAGCAGCTTGCATTCCTTTTAATGTTGCGTCATCAGCTTTCTTGAATTCGTAGGGCCAGATTTTCAGAAGAATGGCAATCTCGCAAAGAATGCCACTTCAGCCCTTTTACAAAAGGACAGAGCTCGACGTTTCTGACAGAAGACTTTAATCAGGTCTCCTTCAGAAATATAGAGGGAATAGTAAGAACTGCCGATGCTGGAGTCTGAGATAACAAGGTGTGGAGCTGGAGGAACACAGCAGGCCAAGCAGCGTCAGAGGAGCAGGAAAGCTGATGTTGCGGTTGGGACCCTTCTTCAGAAATGGGGGAGGGAAGGGGGCTCTGAAATAAATAGAGAAGAGGGGTGGTGACAACAGGTGGATAGTGGAGCAGATAGGTGGGAGAGAAGATGGACAGGTCAAGAAGGTAGGGATGAAGCTAGTAAAGATGAGTGTAGGTAGGAAGTGGGGATGGGGATTGGAGCAGATAGGTGGGAGAGAAGACGGACAGGTCAAGGAGGCAGGATGAGAGGGTGGGGGGCGATCTTGGGATGAGGTCGGGGGTAGGGGGATTTTGAAGCTCGTAAAGTCCACATTGAGACCATTGGGTTGTAGGCTTCCAAGGCGGAATATGAGGTGCTGTTCCTCCAGTTTCCAGGTGGCATCATTGTGACACTGGAGGAGGCCCAGGACGGACATGTCGTCCGGGGAGTTGAAGTGGTTTGCAACTGGAAGGTGTTGACGTTTGTCGCGAACCGAGTGTAGGTTCCTGCCCTTCACCCCCACCACCCCCCACCCCAACTCCATCCCAGGCCCCAAAAAAACCTTCCACATTAAACAGATGTTCACCTGCACATCACCTAATGTGGTCTATTGTATCTGCTGTTCCCGATGTGGCCTCCTCTACATCAGGGAGATCAAGCGGAGGCTCAGAGACCGCTTTGTGGAGCAACTACACTGGCTTCGCGACAAGCGACAAACGACAACACCTCCCAGTCGCTGCTGTCTGCTTTCTGTCCACAATCAATCCTCTATCTGTACTCATGTTTTACCCCCAACACCATGGGCCCTTATCCCATGTATTAACCTTTTAGCGCAGTACCTTATCAAATACCTTGTAAATCCAACTGCTGGTTTTCTTTTCCTACTCCATCCTCAAAAAAAGTGAACACGTTTGTCGAACATTATTTTCCTTTTGTAAAACCACATCGATGTTGTCTGATCATCTTTTAATTTTCCAAGTGTTATGAAGATTTCATTGCTAACAAATTCCAGCATTTTTCCAGCAAATGATGTGGAGGTGCTGGTGTTGGACTGTGGTGGACAAGATCAGAAATGAGATGACGGGAAGTTATAGTCCAACAGGTTGATTTGAAATCACAAGCTTTCAGAGCGTAACCACTTGGTCAGGTGAAGTGAGAAAGAAGCACACAGACACAGAATTTATAGGCAGAGAGATCAAGGGTAGAGAGAAGAAAAAAAAATCGTACAAATGGTGTGAATGGACTGTTGAATCATAAGTCTCTGCAACTGATTTCAAGTGTCAGATGGTGTGAGTACAGTGTCGACAGCTGAATAAGAAGTGAAAGGATGATCTGTAATTGGATTAAATGAGGCAGAGAGATAATTTTAAAAAAAAAGGGTGGTGCTGGAGACAAACCAAATGACTGGAATAACATGATGGGTACAAGAGTCGCATGCCAAGGGTCTAACCAAAGTAACAAGTAATCCAAAACTATACAAACTAATTAACGTAGAGAGATCATAACAAATTATCAAGGTGATGGTGTCAAAATAGGATAGGATAGAAGATTTTACAGATACTAAACAGTGTGGTGGGGTCATGTGTAGCATGACATGAACCCAAGGTCATGAGTATGGAATTTGGCTATCAGTTTCTGCTTGGCGATTCTGCATTGTTGTGTACCTGGAAGATTACCATGGAGGATGCTTACCCAAAGATCAGAGGCTGAATGTCCTTCACCGCTGAAGTGTTCCCTGACTAGGAGGGAACATTGCTGTCTGGCGATTGTTGTGCATTGTCCATTCATCCGTCATCGGAGCGTCTGCGTGGTTTTGCCAATGTACCATACCTCAGGGCGTCCTTGCCTGCAGCATATGAGATAGACAGCATTGGCTGAGTCACATGAGTATCTGCCACGTACATCGTGGGTGGTGTTCCCATGTGTGATGGTAGTACCCATGTCGATGATCCGACATGTCTTGCAGAGATTGCCATGGACTACAACACCGCACAACCCTGCCATGGCAAGTAATGTATCAAGGAGGTATAGTGGAGTGATTATAGAGAGCTAGGAAAAAGTTTAAAAACCACAACCTCAACAGTGATAATCTTCAGATTAGTTCCAGTGCCACGTGCTCGTGAGGGTAAACACGGGAGAATGTGACAGATGAATGCATGCTAAAGAAATGGTGCAGGGGGAAGGGATGCAGATTCATGACTCATTGGGATCTTTTCTGAGGCAGAGGTGACCTGTTCAAGAGGGACGAGTTGCACCTGAACTGGAGGGGTACCAGTATCCTGGCAGGCAGATTTGCTAGTGCTGCAAGGGAGGGTTTAAACTAGATTGGCAGGGGTATGGGGTCCTCAGCAGCAGGAAGGCAAGTGCGAGGCTGGAAGGAGATACAGTAGTCGGAAATAGCAAGTTGAAGAGACAGGCCAGGCTGGAACACGACAGGGAGCGAGGCATGCCTGTTGGATTAAATTACATCTATTTCAATGCAAGAGGGCTGACGGGTCAGGTCAGTCTTTAAGGGCGTGAATAGGTACTTTGGGCTGGGATATTTTAGCCATTACAGAAACATGGCTAAAGGAAGGACAGGACTGGCAGCTTAATGATGGATGAATGGAAGTGCTTTAGGCGGTACATAGGTGGAGCAAAGAGGGAAGGGAAGTTTAGTTTTTGATTGAGGGCAGTGTCACAGCAGTACTCAGAGATGAAATAACTGAGGGGTCCTTGAGTGAGGCTTTGTGGGTGGAATTCCGAAGTAAGAAGGAGATGGTGATGTTACTGGGGTTGGACTGTCGGCCCCCAAATAGTCAACAGGAATTAGAGGAACGGTATGCAAGGAGATTGCGGAGACTTGCAGAAGAAATAGGGTTATCATAGTGGGGGATTTTAATTTTCTTAACATTGATTGGGACTGCCATAGTGTTAAAGGCCTAAATGGGGTGGAATTTGTTAAATGTGTTCAGGAAAATTTCCTCAAGCAGTATATAGAGGGTCCTCCTTGGAAAGGAGTAAAACTCGGCCTACTCCGAGGAAATAGGGCAGGACAGGTGACGGAGATGGCAGTGGTGGAGCACCTTGGGACCAGCGACCATAGTTCTATTAATTTCAAAATAGTTATGGAGAAGGACAAAACTGGTCCCTGGTTCAAGTTCTAAATTGGGGCAAGATGACTTTTAATTAGACAGGAGCTTGCAGGGCTTGTTTGGAGCAGTGCCTTTGCAGGCAAAGGGACCTCTGGCAAATGGGAGGCCTTTAAGAGTGTGATAGCTAGAGTTCAAGCTCTATATGTTCCTGTGAGGGTGAAGGGCAAGGTTGGCAGAAGTAGGGAACCTTGCATAACAAGAGATATTGAGGCTTTGACCAGAAAAAAAAGGAGGCATAGATCAGGACAGGCAACTGGGATTAAGGGTACCCCCGGAGGTATATAGAGGTTGCAGGAGTTTACTGAAGAAGGAAATCAAGAGGGCGAAAAGGGGGCACAAGATAGCTTTGGTTGAGAAGATTAGGGTGAATGCTAAGAGATTCTTTAAGTATATAAAAGGAAAAAGAATAACTAGAGAGAGAATAGGACCCTTCAAGGACCAAAGTGGACATGTATGTGTGGAACTGCAGGAGATGGGTGAAGTCCTCAATGACTATTTCTTCTCTGTTTTACCGTGGAGAGAGACGGGAAGACTTATGAACTTGGGCAAGTTAGTGGCAATATCTTTTGGATAATCCATATCACAATAGGTGAGGTGTTGGAAGTATTAGAATGTACGAAGGTGAATGAATCTCCTAGTCCTGATCAGATGTATCCAAGAACCCTGCAAGAGGCTAGAGAAGAAATTCTCGGAGCCCTGGCTGATATATTTGCATTATCGTTAGCCGCGGGTGAGGTTTCTGAAGACTGGAGGGTAGCGAATGACTAGAGTGCATCAGTTTAAGGTAAGAGGGGCAAGAATTTATGGGAACCTGAGGGGCAGCTTTTTTACACAGAGCATGGTACGCATATGGAGTGAGCTACCAGTGGAAGTGTTGAGGCGAGTAGATGAACTACATTTAAAAGACATTTGGAAAAATACATGGATAGGAAAGGTTTAAAAGGGTATTGCCAAATGCAGGGAAATAGGGTTAGCATAGATGGTCATTTTGGTCAGCATGGACGAGTTGGGATCGAAGGGCCTGTCTCTGTGCTGTAGGATTCTATGACTCTGAAAGATACCGAATGGTTCACGTGTTCTATTTGTGTACAGCGTAATATGCAGTTTTCCTCGTAAACCCAAGCTACAAAATTGACTGTATCAGAGTAGCAGAATTGAAGGGTCCTCTGGCTCAGGTTTTTGCAAAGATGTTTTATATTCAGTATCGCTTGGAAAATTAGGTTTTGAAGGATTTGATGAAATTGCTTTGTGGAAGTACCTGGAGGAAGACATTGAAAGTTGACAATTGACATGGGAAATTTTTTTAACCAGTCTTGAAAATTATATGACTGCTGTCTGCTTGCTTTGTTGCGAACCCCTGGAGGGGCTGTCTTGATCACTTACCGGCTCGGAAAGATTCTTGTTATATCTGCTTCAGTTGAAGGAACACCTCGGAACAAGCTGCTCGGAGAAAAGTTTGCCAAGAATAAGCTGCCCAGCTGATCCATCTCATTTCTGAAAAAACAAATCTTCATGTTGAGTTCAGGTTAAAATTATTTGCTCTTTTGAAAGGGTGATTAAAGAAGCACCTAAAAATTGCATTTTTTAAGCTAGCTCTGTCTGCAAAATTTGAGAGACAACTGTGTATACTTAGTAATTTGATCACAGATGCCAGAATGTCAGAGCCATGGATTCCGGAATGTTTTAAACTTTATCGTTTTGCCTTCAAGGTGAATTCGTTGGCTAAAGGTTTAGCTTTCAGAAAGTCAGTCTCTGCTGAGAATTTTTTTTCTGGCCTTTCCTGAACAGCATATGTTCATTTCAAGGATATTTGGATTGAAAAGCATTTATCCTTAGATTTTATTGATTATGTATGTTAACCAATTATCGCTTTTTATTGAACAAGTTAATTTTTTTTTATCAAAAACAAAGTTGATTAAGATATTTAATTAATAAATCTTGTTTAATGTTATATGGTCATCTTCATAAATAGACTAAGTATGTTAATTTCTCGTGGCCCATGGAATAGTGGGTTGAGAGTTATGGTGCACTGTTCCAGTGTATGTCATAATGAGATTGAAAACCAATGACCACCATGTTTGAGTGATGCCTTTTCAATTTTTCATGAAAGTTGATATCACATTGTTCAAGTTGGATTTGATTAACAACTTCAAAGCAACTACTCGTGGTCATGAAGTATAAATAGCATCCTGGCTGCAAAAAGCACCATGCATATGTGAATTTACTCTGTGTGTAATTTGTGAATTGCACATATTCTCCATATTCGATTTTTGAAGCTAACTTCAATTTTAAAACATAACTTGTATAAATGTGATCTTAAAGTAATCTCCATTAAAAGCTGTCTTATAAGTACCAATATGCTATATAAGACTTTAAGTTTTAAATTAGTTTTCATGACGTTAAAGTGGGAAGAGATTTAGTAATTTGCTTGTTAATTTTTCCGCAATTTTACAAGCCACATGACAAAGTTTGTGTATCTACTTCGGAATTTGAGAGTTAATCTTAAGTTGCCTCTCTTGAATGTTCACTCGATATCAATTGGTGGATAAGCGTGCACGGCAAGCTAGCATGAGTAACTGAATATCATGTAGGTATCAGTGAAATGTGACATTCTATATCTCTGCAAGGGAGCCTAACTGGAAAATTCAGAAGTGATAAAACCAGCCTCTCAAATGGAGATATGTATCACATGTTGAAAACATAAATTTGCCGTAAAATTTGGTATTAAGAAGTCTCAAGTGTGGAGATGTGAAAAATATCTCCACACTTCACAGATCATGTCTGTGGTACGAAATGAGATTTCTGCAACAGAAGTTAACTTGAAAATGAAGTAAGTCTCTGGGAACAGGGAACAGCGTACAGCTTAAGTTTTCTGAAGAGGTATGGTTAATGCTGTAAAAACATAACACTTAAAAATACTTTGCTATTATTGAACATTTGAAATAACATAGGTCCTTGAACTTGATATAAACAGATTTCCACTACTTTGTCTGAATAGCTCTCCGACAGTGTTATCAGCCGTATGCGGGATGCTTCTTCGCCAGCTGAAAAACCCCAGTCGTCATCTGCAGGGCCGCCATCATCTACTGGAACTTGTCCACCTCATCCAGTCCAACCAAAAGGTATTGTGTTCCTGCATTTCTAAAGATGATATTAAGTCTGATTAAAATGTTGAAACATTTTTGTGCATCTTTGCATCATTGTGTTAAAAGGACTTTGTCCTGTTTAAATGCAGAAGGAATAATAAGAGGTAAAGAGAGATAAAAATTGGTTAAAAATTGTTGGTTGCATTTGAGAGACAAGTAAAGAAACTGATGATGATTCTGCAAAATATCAAGATGTTGTGTAAGCGAGTCAAGCACAAGGAAATCAAAATGCTCTTCAGCTTACAAGTATTTTCAGTTGGATGATGAATCGTGACATTGAATAAAGGGCAGTATTGGAGAAGATAATTCCCTGGCGAAGCTGATGGATGTCTCAAAATGTGCAATCTTTGGATTGTTATGATATCCTCATGAGCATATTTCTGTTAATTCATGATCTGAAGGTGTCCAGTACAATACTGCTAACTAACTAAATCTGGATTCAAGTAATTCCAATCCTGCTTTCATGTCAATTTGTGGATGACAATGAGATTAAAATAATCAGTGACCAGACTAAATTCCCTCTTTTTTTCACAAAATCTCCATATCCAGTTCTAGCCATCGGTAATGCCTACATAACTTGTTTATTTTGTCTATCTTTACTTCCGCTCCTCATTCACTCCAATTGATGTACATTAGTGAGTTTATTATTTTCTAATTTAATTGACCTAGCATTCTGTTTGCTTTCTACAGTTGACATAATGCATACCAATTGTTTCTCCCTTTATCAACCACCACCAACTTTGATTACCTTAACAAATTGGTTTCAGATTCCTTTGCTTAACTTTTAATCCCTAGGACATAGCACCATGGCATCTACACCTTCCTGCACCTGCACATCTCTGTTTATACTGTGATGACACGGTGTACAGCTGGATGAACACAGCAGGCCAAGCAGCATCAGAGGAGCAGGAAAGCTGACGTTTCGGGTC